TTAATTCGTGTGTTATTAGAATATGTCGAGAAAAAAGTTAAAGATAAAACAGGAAGATTTGCTCGTTGTGTATTTTGTTGTTGTCGTTGTTGTTTATTTTGCTTGGAAAAATTCTTAAAATTTCTTAATCGAAATGCTTATATTATAACAGCAATATATGGATCAGGATTTTTTACATCGGCACGTCGAGCATTTCAAATAATTATTTCAAATCCAATTCGTTTACTTGTTATTGATAAAGTATGTGATTTTCTTATATTTCTTGGTAAATTATGTATAACAGCTGGCATTGGTATTCTTGCTTTCTTCTTTTTTACTCACCGAATAGCACAAGCTGAAAATTATGTACCTGAATTACATTATTATCTTATACCATTATTATTAATTATTATTGGTACTTATGTTATTACAAAATGTTTTTTTTCTGTTTATTCAATGGCTGTTGATACAATAATGATTTGTGCATTAGAAGATCTAAGAATGCAAGAAAAAAATAAAAATCATCAGACGATGATGTCGAAAAACTTGCAAAAAGTATTTCGAGTTAAAAAAGATAACTAAGATTTTATTTTATATTGTGATTGATCTATATATTTCATTGCCTATACTAATTGTGATATTCATCGTAAATAATAATAAAAAAACAACTTATGAGCAAATCATCATTTCATTTCTTGTTGATTGATAATAATAAAAGGCGCTCCAAATTCAAAGTTTCCACACCTTTTTTTTTTGACTTATTCATATACCATTCGATAGAACTTTTCAAGTTGATCACAAATATCTAGTATACAATTCTCACTAGTGCAAGTTTTTGCTAAACAAAAAAAAATATAAAAAAACTGTTTTTTTTTTGCTTTGAATAATGTTTCTAACAGAATAACTCAGTTTTGATATATTTTCAAAGCTTGAAACTATGGTTTTTTTATTCAGCATTTAAAACTGCATATTGTGAACTATATGTGGAAGTTCTAGAATAATAAAAATTTCAGAGTTTAATGAGTTCAATGGGATCCAAGGCCTCCGAGCTTGATTTCGTAAATCTGTCTAGTTTTTCAAGTCAAGAGATATAATCATGTGTTCCAGACGATTAGAATTGTCATCAAGGGAAGAACAAAAGTACGTTCTTCTTTTTTTCAAAATTCTTTATTGGGTTTGGGTGTCTTTGCTGGAAAAGAGAAGATCACACCCACACTCTACCGTTGCAATTCAAGTGATCAGAATATGTTGAGTAGGCGTCGATATAGGTGTGGGTTTGGATGTGGATGTAGGTGGGTGCGAGTGTTAGTATAAGGGTGTGGGTGTGGGTGAGTGTGGGTGTGGGTGGGGTGTAGGTGTGAATGTGGGTGAGTGTGGGTGTGGGCGGGGTGTAGGTGTGGATGTGGGTGTGTTTAGATTTCCACTTCATCCACACCCACGCCTATCCCACATCTACGTCTCATATCCACACCCTTTATCAAAGGTGAAATCAGATACACGATATCTACCACCATTTGTTGAGAAGTTGAAAAATACTGATTTTTCTCCATGGGTCGTAGAAAACTCGAAGAGTAACTCCAACCTGGATTGACCCAGGAAGCATTCCAGGTGCTTTCGTTCGTATTTGAAGTAGAGTTCGACGTACTCTATCGAACGGTAGAACTAGATTTACGATATGTCAAACCATATTCTCACGAAATGGAAAGTACAGGTTGTTCTGCGTAAGCCATCGGGAACTCGGTGAGTAATCTCAGTAGCATTTCTCCTAGGATGGGTTCCATGTCTCTTTCTCGGTGTCAGTAGGTAGAGCATATTTTATTTCATGTGAAACATGAATGAGAGTACGTGGAACGCTTCCTGGGCGAATCAGGGCTGGAACTACTCCTCATGTTTCCTAGGATCCATGGGAAAAAATCTGCATTTCTCAACTTCTGAACGAATGGTTTCCGATGTCGGTAATCTCATCTCACCATTCGATAGTGCACGTTGAATTCTACTTGGAACACGAACGGAAATGCGTGAAACACTTCCTGGGGTAATTCGGGCTGCAATCACTCCACAGATTCGGTGGGACTCGTTGGGAAGAACCAGTATTTTTTAACTTGTGAATGAATGGTTGTAGATATCGTAAAGCTACTTTTACCATTCGATACAGCATATTGAATTCTACTTGAAACACAAATGAGAACGCCAGGAATGCTTCCTGAACGAATCTGGCCCGGAATTATTTCCCAGGTTCTCTAGTACTCATAGAGAAAAAAATAAGTATTTTTCAACTTTTGAACGAATGGTTTAAGGGAAAGCCCCCTCAGAAATAAACTTTTTTATTTTTCAATGGAATTCAATCAAAATTTCAGAAAAAATTAGTCTTGGTTGTAATAAATTATGGTTAAAAATATCTCCCCAAATCTGCGAGCCATTCACGAGTTATAGTCAATTCATTGGTCAAAAATACCTTTTACGCGGGGAAGATTTTCAACATGAGAATTTGAACTAAGCATGTCGAGGTGGTTTTTAAATTGTAGAGTACCCGTAGAGCTAGATCCTAATAGAGCCCGATTTTTTAATTTCCCGTTATTTGCTTTTTAGAAACACTTTTCTCAAAAGTTCTCAAACTCGTGGCCAAAAAATTACTGATTAGAATCAAAGATCTAAGCTTTCTATTTAAACAATGGAGAAATTCAGAATTGGGCTTTATTAGGATCTAACCCCAAGTGTCTACTATACAAAAAAAAAACCATTACAACTTTTTGTATTGAGTCGTTATTGAGAAAGGTTCCCCCGCGTAAACGGTATCCTTGAAAAAACTGATTTTGAGAAAAATGGAAAATAAGTTTTTAAGAATTTTGTGTTTTTCAATATGGAGGTTGAGAAAAACCTACGTAGTATCCTTAAGTCTCATCATAAACTCAATCAACTATAGTACATTCTAGAGTAGACACTTTGCTCTATCTAATAAGCTATAAATCACAAAATTGATTGTTTTTGAGGGAGACTTCTCCTTAAGTAAAGTTCGCCTCTGATGTTTTTTTGACCTTGATACATACATAAATACATAGACACAAACGCATTTTATTTCATATGACCCTCCCTACAGTCGAGGAAATGTAGAAAAAAATATCGATAAAGCGAATTTGGTTTGAATAATCGATTATTACTTTCATCATGTCCAAATGAGAACGGTCTAAAAGTTCGAGAATGTTTATAAGTTTGTAGTGCTTGTATTTCATCTAAGAGAATTTTTCATAGTCTCGAAAATTGAAACTGCATTAAGATACAAGGTTACAAGTATATGATATAAATTTTCTTTTCACAACGTCAATCTTTAATCTATTTCTGAGAGGTATTTATTTACGTCAGTATACCAAATACGATCTCTATTCGTGTTAAGTTTATAACATAGTTCACAAAAACGAAACGGCTCCACATCATAACTTAGATAACGTGTTTCATAATTAATTCTCCATTTATGATACTTTTCATACTCATTTTGATTTGTTCCCACATCATTTAAATGTTTGGCTAATGTTCGAGGATCACTAAAGTCATTTGCATAAATAAATGAATTAGGTGGAGCAACTCGTTCATAGCTTCGACGTTTTGGACCACGAACAATAGGTATTACGCCATGAGATAACGATCGCCAAAATTTCTCAGTGATATAATCACGTCTCAATGTGGTCGATTCAAAAGCCAAGTAAAACTTTGACTTAGAGAGTTTTTCAAGTTCACACTGAGAATGACGAGCACACTGTTGAGAATCATTTGTTCGATTGACAACACACTTTCCAAAAGCAGAGATAGGAAAATGTTCTTTGAGTTGTGCATAATTCTCAAGACGTGTCTTTGAACCACAATTACTAACAAACCTAAAAATAGTACAGTAAATTATACTATTGATCGTTACAAAGTTAACAATTATATAATATTACTTACCAAAGAGCTTCATTGTGTCGGTTTTTGTAATTTTCATTGATCCATTTCCTGAATACTACTTGATTCATGGGCTCATTTCTCACAAGAGTAATTCCATAAGCTGCGACACTAACTTCTGAATCCAAGCGAAAACTAATTGTCCAGTTAAATAGAAATTTACTGTAGATCCGTGAGCGTGGACCCGGTTCATCGTGCCATAGCAACCATATTTGATTCGAAGTTCGATGTTGACTCAGATTGAATAGTCTTTCATAATTCATATTACCATAAAGCATTAGTATAGCGTCCGCTCTATGAATCAAAGAAGAATTGCATGTAAATTCACAATTTCGAAAGGGACAAGTCGATCCATAAACCAATGCACTGTTTTGTTTTCGACAAAATTGACGATGTCTTGTATATTCGTAAATTAAAAAGGACGTTTTGTTAGATGGCTTTTGAAATGTATTACGAAGTATTGTCTTAAAAGGAGACTGCCTCATCAGCTGTTCCTTGTGTTCCAAATATCGTAAAATACTTTGCTCTGTTCGTCTATCGAATGGAAATGACGCATAGGAAATGTCTAGTTGTCTAGGAGTTTCATCTCTTCTTTGTCGAACTTTTGGATAACCCATAAATAACAAGCTGTTAATTGTTACAAAAAGACAAATACAGCTCAGATTCTTGAGACATTGTTTAATAGAAAATAGTCGAACCATCAATACTTATCTTTCAGGTATATCTTAAGTTTCCTTTTTATTGACACGAAGTTGATTGGTTGAAATTGATAAAGTCGCTTTTAATATAAAAACCTCATTGATGCAATCATTGCCATGTGATTGATATTGTTCAGCAAAACAATCTATATAACAACGGTCTAACGATGAATAACTATAAAAAAAGTGACCATGTCAAAGATGGATCATACGATTTACTTTCCACGGAATTATTTTCAGTGTTAATTGGATTTTTTTTCATAAAAAATTATGATTTCTGACGCTGAAGATTTACTTTCCGTTGATTATATAAAAATAATTTACCAGTTAACGATTTTTTCATACGAGTATTTACTTTCCATTCATTAGTTAGACGAAATGAAATGAATAGATCAGTCATATGACTGATCCACTCATTTCATTTCGTCAAACTAATGAACGGAAAGTAAATATTCACACGAAAAAATCGTTAATTAGTAAATTATTTTTTATGTAATCAACGGAAAGTAATTTCGCGGAAAGTAAATCGTTCACCCATCAAAAACGTGTACGAATTCTCTTTTCACGTCAGCAGCAGATTACTTTTCCTTCTTTACGTATGTGAGATCGAAGCAAATAAAACGAAAAATATATGTGTTTTATCGGCAGTAAATTTATTCTGTAAACTAATATGCCGTTGTACTTCATCACCGATTATGTTTTTTTCTTCTAGTCTACGACATAAAGTAATGGATTAAGGTGAAAAATGATCTCTTAATTTACAAAGGATAGTTGTACATATCAACTAATATCGGTTTCAAAATAAAAAAGAGTGAGTATTTTTAGAATAACTTTTGATAGGAACAAGATAGGGAGCTGCGGTTCTCACCATTGGAAAGAGGCGATGAAACTGCATCGATTCGTATATTTCAGATTTTTTCTGATAAGTATTGTAAAGGTCTTTCCAAGAAGTTTTTTAAAAACTCAAAGATTTTAGACGTAGAAGAAATTGATTTTTTATTAAAAACTAAGGAAAAAAAAGGATTTTTTCGTTAAAAATTGACCGACAACACACAGTAACGTGTTCATAACTCATGATTAGCTAAAGATAATAACGTCGGGCTTGTATAGCTGATAGCTCTTTAGTTAGTGATTCTAGTGCCCTCCTGAAAATTAAAAGTCCATAATATTTACATTATATAACGCTTTGTCTTTTGAAAACTTGTCGAAGAACCCTTAAAATACTTGTCAGAAAAAATCTGAAATATACGAATCGATGCAGTTTCATCGCCTCTTTCTAACGGTGAGGACCGCAGCCCCCTATCTTGTTCCTATCAAAAGTTATTCTAAAAATACTCACCCTTTTTTTATTTTGAAACCGATATTAGTTGAAAAAAATCAACTAAAAGTCTAATGCAAAAGAGTGACATCATTAGAAAGAGCTCAAAAACTGAGTATTATTCTAGAATATTAGCGCGTGGAATGATGTAGTCCCAAGCAAAAGTTTTTAGAATACTATTGTTTGCAACAACAATTTTTTGTTGTTCTCCTATATTTCTTTTCTTCGTTCTGTCAGCTGCAATGACATATATGTGCACGGGTATTACTAATTTATGCAAACAGCACAAACACCCAACTTTGTAAAACCGTATATCAGTCATCGTGACAAACACCCACATCTTGGAGAGTTATGCACACAAACACCGACAAACACCCACTTTGCAGGAGTCCTAGAAAAAATAAACCGTCAACAAAGACCAAAAAATGACCCCTCTCAACACAAACACCCAGGATTTCTCTAATGGTCCACATAAACATTCCAACGTGCCTTGACAAACACCCACAGAACTTCATAAGCTACATTCTGACACGAATAAGTGCCATCCTCGAAATACTTTTCTTGACAAACTTTCCTGTGGAAACATATAAGACCGATTCGAATATGTCTATAGACATCTACTAACACCCAGGATCTCTCTTATGCTCCACATAAACACACCAAGTTGTCTTGACAAACACCCACAGAACTCAATAATCTACATTCTGACACGAATAAGTGCTATCCCTGAATAACTTTTCTTGATAAACTTTTCTCTAGAAACATCTCTTAATATAAAGAAAATCCTCAAAAATAACTAAAAATGCATGAAAACAAGAGAAAAAATATAAAAGCATTTGGTAATATTGAGTTAGATTATATAAACAACTTAATAGATCCAAATTAGATTTTCTAACAACACTAGAAAACTATGATTCAATCTCTGACATATAATTCGAAATACCTTCGTATGTGTTTAATTCTAAGAGCACTTAAAAAATGATGAAAACACCTGAAAACAGATAATAAAATTCAATAGAAATTGTATGAACATTTAATAGTAGTCAATTTATATCCCACAACATTAATAAAATACGCAGATATTTCTTAATGTAGAGTCGCATAATATTCAAAACACTTTTATGTGTAGTTCTCCCTTAGAGAGAACTCAAAATAAGCGAAATACTCCGAAATATTTAATTTGTTCTCTATAAAGATCTTCAAAACTGGAGATTTAAGAGTATGCAAAAATGCCACTGGTGTATATTGGTGTTGGATAAAAGAAGATTAACTGGATGGTGTGGGTTTGAATGTCGAAAAGATCGCACCCACACCCATCCAACTTCGAACAAGCAGTACTGACACCTGAGAAAAGCATGAGCATTTTCAGCTATTGAAAGTCAACCACTTTGTTAGCCCGCAGCGCGACAACAGATGACGTTTTTGTTGCCCTATATATCATACGATGCAAAAATAATGGCACAAAATGTTGATCTTTTTTCTCTTGGATAGAAGATTGCTGAAATAAAACCTTTTTTTGTCAAACGATAGAGCTTTTTCTCCTCTTTCAAATCATATATAAGTTATTCCCATAAAAAGTTCGTAAACGGAATGGCACAGTAAAAAAAAGAGATACCTTCAAAAAAAGAATTCGCGCTCTTTGCGGAATTTAGAAATACGGTACAAAATATTGATTCGTATGTCTCTTGAATAACTCTTCAATAAGTCTTGAAAAGAAAATTTTCTCCTTTTTCGAATGGTGTATGGTTTATATTTGCCATATATTCGTAAATGAAATGAGACGAAGAAGAGAAATACTTGTGCAATAAATTTTCAATTTTGATGTAAATTCGTCAAAAACATATTGTTAGACAATAATTAATGCGAATTCTGTGTATTCATTAAAAAGCCCTTGTGAAATGGTGCTTACTGCTAGACGATAGTTAATTGTACTTAACTGCCATCTACTAGATGTTCTTGACGAATTAATATAAAAATTGTAAATTTATTGTGCATATGTATGAAACACGTATATAGTGATTGACACTTTGTACCATTCTTTTATAGAAAAAAGTGCGGATTCCTTTTTTGAGGGTGTCTCTTTTTTTGTTGCATCGTTCTGTTTACAAACGTTTAATGAAAATAACTTATATACGATTTGAAAGAGAAGAAAAAGCTCTGTGTTTTAGTAAAAAAATGTTTTCTTTCAGTATTTTTCTATCCAGAAGATAAAGACATAAACATGCTGTGCCATTACTTTTGGATCGCAAATACTTCAACAATATAAGCATCTGTCCTTTAATTAATATGACTCCGGCACTTTTTCAATTATAAGTTTAAATATATCATCCAACAAATATTATGTTATATACCTTTCATGTTTTGTTTCTATTGAATATCTATTTTTGGATAAACAGATATCATTGCTGTGCTATTTATTTTTAAATATAATCTATTTAGTTTGATTTAATTTATCTATCGACATATCCAACTGTAGAATAATCTGTTAAAATTGAACAGTTCATTCAAATCTTTTGCATATGAACACTTTATTATTAATGTTAAAAAAGACAAAGCATGTGTTGTTATAATTATCAGAATTTTTAAAAACAACTACGCAAAAATGCTAGGTATTTACCAAGAACAAATGACCTGATTTTTATGTTATCATATATTTACATCATGCTCAAAATTCTTAATGATATTCATATATAATAAAAGAGAAGAAAAAACCAACGCAAAAGATCAAAACCTACATTAGAAATTTATACATAGAGTCATTACTCTATTCAATTTTCACTATATTGAGAAACATAAAATGTTTCATATGATAGTTCTTTTCAATATGATTCTCTTACATTTTACTGCAGCTACACCTCAAATAAATCTTCATTATGCAGATTGGATAAAAGAAAATGAAAGTCATAATGGGCTGCAACATGATTGTTTACGTGTTCTTGCTTCGAATGATGAAACCAGTATTAGTCGTGAAATTACGTCTTATTGTATGAGTGAATTGCC